GCTGCACCAAAGATTATTCATGCACATGTAACACCGGCCAGTTTGAAAACTCTGGTCCACGCCTTGGCTGTACTGTAATGATATTAACTCACAGGAGAGACTGGTACAAAGAAAGGGAAGTCGAAATATCTTTCCTGTTCTTCTTTCTAAACAGTACCATCACTGGGTACTTCTGCATGTACAGGACACAAGTATCTACTTCACTGAAGAAGAAACAACTCTGAAAGCCTGTGCCACTATTTTAAAGGTGACTTTTTCAAATAAAAACTCCTGTTAGTTGATTGTAATGCTCCAGTTTCTTTTGGATAAGGAGGTTTGTCCTATCCTTCTAGGAAGCTCACTTTTCATTTGAAATGCAGTTTCTTAACTAGTTCATGCGCATCACTAAAAAGGCTCAACCTTTCAGAAAAAGATAATAAAAAATAACTAAAACTTCTGTACCAGCACCCAGATAAGGAACTAACAGAGAAAGGGCTCAACTTCAAGTAGAGGTAATGTAACACATTTATTACTGAAGTGCTTATGCTGAAAATAGTGAAGTGAAATGAAGGAAAAAAAAATCTCTGTTTGAGGAAGAGGGAAATGTATTAAACTGTGTTCAAAGACATGTAGTCTCTTCAGGATTTCAAAGATGATGTCTGAGCCAGAGGACTGCTGGCTCAAGTTCCACCAGCACAGATTACTGGCACCACCTCACGTGCCTGTCCCCAGTGTGTGGATCTCTCTATGTCTGGTCTGCTCCCAGATGCACTTTTTAAGACACATCTTGTGCGTTACAAGAAGAAATGCAAGCCAGTGTGGTACTTTTAAAAAATGAAGGTCTGACTAAACCAGAGAATTTTATATTCAAATGTCTGCATCAGGTCATCTACCAGCTGCCTCGATGAGAATTCACTGATAAAATGCCCTAATGGAGGGCATTTTATCTCCACGTGGAGATTTCATATTACTGTTTTGTATGTTTGTCCCTTTCTGTTTTGTATCAAAGAGGGTAATCTGTTAATGTGGCCAGTCTAGTTGCCTCTGTTCAACATGCTAATGCTAATAAAAATCATGAGAGTGTGCACCCCCAGTCACTCCTCATCTGATCACTGGGAAATAAAATAGTTTGAGATGCTGGGGGCTGGAAAGATGTATTGTAAAGGTCCCACTGCTCTTTCACAAGTACCTAACCCTAACACAGATGAATAACAAGGATTTAGGCAGATTTTAGGTTCTTTGATTTCTTCTTACACAAGTTAAAATCACATCAATTTTCTAATTTTTATGACTTCAGTGTTCATAAGACTCAGGCAAAAATGCAATATTTAAGACTGCATCATGTAAGCACCAGACCATTGTCAATTTGCTTATAACCACTACATACTACTAGGCTAAGGCAGCATGATTTTTTTCATTTTGCTGGTAGAAACAAACCCTTGAAATTTAAGTACCTAACCTGATACATAAAACATGTATATAAAAAATAGAAGCTACACTCAGAATTCCCAGAACCAAGGGAAGTAACCACCAGATAATCACTCCTCTGACAACATGGAAACAATAAACCATGAATCCCCAAACAACATAAAGTGAAACCAAAAAATTACAACAAAAACATTAAAATTTTTACTTTGACTCTTCTTCACTCTAAATCACAGCACGGAATTAGGGGCAAAAAATGCATAATTTGTAGATTTTTATAGGTGACCTTCAAACCCAGTCCACTGAATATGCAACACAAAATGCTGAGGTACGGTGAAATGAGGGTTTTGTGTATGGAACAGACATATAATACAGGTGATCTTAATTAAAAGAAGGTAAAACAGAGGTGAGGAAGCAAGACACCCATCACCAAATAGCCATGCAGGTTAGTTGCAGTTTTGACTAAAATTTAGAAATAATAGATGCCTGCACAACTGCTTTTCTGGAAAGACAATGGGAACCTTAAACACAGTGTGTTAGCTTGTGGCTAGAACACAACAGAAAGCAGAAAGAGCCTAAGATAGTACAAACCAGGCAATGGTGTTGCTGCATACAAAACCTGGACACTGTTTAAAAGATAAATATCAATTACTGGGATACATTATTGCATTACTCCTTTGTTGGGCCCCAAAGAAAATAACTTTATGTCTCTGACAGAATCTTGAAAACCTTGAACTATCCAAGCCATCAACACCACGCTTTTAATCAGTGTTATCTGTTTCTGTGCTGCTCTACAACTGTCCCAGTCACTTTGCTTTACAGATCACATCTCATTTACCAAGCTGTCATATGAAATAAAACAAGAACAAAGCCAAACACCACACATTTCATTTGTCTGCGGAGTTATTTACTGGTATTTGGTACTAGATTCTGTGCTGAATGAATGAAGATCCCAAAGTCTATGTACATCTAACTGTGTCTAAGGAACAGGTCTGTGCAAATTATAAATTAAGATTACTCTATAGCATCTGTATACTGAGAGAGACTGTCTTAGAATAAAAAAAGGAGTCACTGAAATGGTTCTCCAAGAAAATAGCTACAATTATGCCAGGTGATATGTGTGCAGTGAAAGAAACATATTATTAATGTAAAGAAGGTAAATAAGTATCATGGACCCAACTAATACTAAACAAAAAAGAAAAATAGTTTTTCAGTATTTTCCCACGTGATTTTCACTGGTGTGCACTACAAGAGAGTGCAACAATATTTAGGTTCATGTTATTCATGTTAACCCCTGTATTTAGAGGTATTTGATTTTCCTTGAAATCATCCAAGCAAAGCTGTCAGTAAGCTTTCACTTGTGTGAAGTAACAGACACCAGGAAATGTCATGTCAACATTAATGCAGACATTCTAGGACAGAAGACTTCTTTTTGCATGACACAGACCAATCAAACCTGATATACTTACAGTCTATTGAATTCCCTGACTTCAAACTTCCTTTGTTTTAAGGAAAGCTTCCTCTAGTGATCTACCTGAAAGCAATCAGGGGAAGCTGACAGCAATATAGGATATAAAATAGTTGCATAGTGTGAATGAGATTCTCTTCTAAAAGAACTTGTATTAAAAAAATTATTTCAAAAAAGGGCAAAGCATTTGGAAAAAAAATTATATGTCTGATTTAGTTAGCAGGAGAGACATGGAAGCAATCTGAAATAACTTACACTAATTGAAATTTGCTCTTTGGTGCCAGCAAGAAAGACTTCTCCATATCTAAGTAAACTTTTGCACAAAGATAAAGCAGCAGTTGGTATATCTTTGAAGACAGGAGATACTTCATTAATATTTTTTTAATTGAGTAGTTCCGAACTTATAAACACATGCTGATCTCACTTTCATTTGTCTGTTTTGGAGAGTTTTGCTCTAAAACGACCAGAAACTCTACACTATACCTTTCTATAAGTCTTTGTCCATAAAAGACCAAGATGTAACACAACAGGTAGCTGAAGATTTCCAAGCAGTGCTCTCCAAACTGTTAAGAGCAGGAGCTCTCTTGCTGTGTATACTGGTAAGGCAGTTTGTCCAGGAGGACCCAATTTTAATTAAAAAGAGCAATAAATCTCATTAAAAGTTGCAGGAAAGGTTATTTATAGTCCTTGTTACCTGTGGCTTCACAAGAAGCAATTCAAGCACAGACTGTGGCTATCAGGAAGTGACTATCCAGCTCTTTTGCTTGCTAACTATCAGACAACTTGAGTGTGTCATTTTTTAGGGACATTTTGGCACCTTGAGTCATGGATGTGGGAAGTGCCACTCTGCTGGACAGGTGTGCTGCCTCTGATGTAATGTGATCCAGATTATTCTATGCTGTGGCAGTGCTTAGAAAAACAACATCAGTACTGTCCAAGGTCCCTATGCTGTGCAGTTCCTTGCCAATTATGCCTCCTAAACATCAGTAATTCATATACAATTGCCACATCATTCCTTTGTCTCAGAAGGATTCTCTGGGTGCCTGAAAAAATTTTTACCTCATAAATACCTAAATTCTTCCTTAACTGATTAGGCCTGTGCATTTTCAGCTCTAAATCTACAGTTATAGTGGAAAAGCATCACTTAACTGACGGAAAGGCACGATAACAAAAAAAAGTCTCTCATTTTCCATTTGTCTAAGTGTTTGATTACATGTTCTGAGGCAAATCAGATAACTTGAGATTCACTTGACTCATCCGCTGAGCACAAACATCATCCATCTTTGCCTTTACATAACACTTTATAATCCTAGGATCTCAAAGCCAAGGACCAGTACAAAACACACAGTGCCTCCCTGAAGGAAACCAGCACTGACAGAAAACTACCCAGTGTCACAAGGAAAGCTGTGGCCATTTTGATTTATAAAACTGCACTGGGTGAGCGCTGAGTACAATCCAACAGTCAGAGAAAGAATCAGAAATCCCCAAAGATCAAAAAAATTAACTACCAGAGGCAGAGATTAATATCAGTAATTTACAAATTATCTTTAAAAAGCATTAAACCCCAACAGCAAGCCAAGTTAATTTCCCTCCCAAACTTTCTTCATTCTCTCTCTTCCCCTTTAACTTGCTTTCTGTCTTATTTATATTTGTTTCTTGAGGTTCTGATCACAGTATCATTGTGGATCAATCTAAGGGAAGCACGAGCTTGGTGATACTCCTTTTAAAGGATAATTTAATTAAAGTTTTAAATAGTAGAAGAAAATTAATTTCCTCTGACTTTGTCCTCTTTTGAATACTTAAACCTGCACAATTATGTATGAAAAAAGGTAATCTATCAACTCTGAAACCTCAGGTTTTATCAATTAGATACTTTACAAGTGCCTATCAAAGCAAAATCAGCCCTTCTAAAAATCCAGTCATTGGGGAAAAGTCACTTCTTCATATTGAAATGTGTGTCTCTTCCCACCTGTGGTACCAGGCACTTTAATGAAGAAAAAGAAAAAGAGGAAAAAAAAATATGGTTCCCAGAGATAGTTCACTTTTTTAAAGGTGAATTACATTAGTTGCAATCAAATGCTGATGAGGGTGGTAAAGTGAGAGCCTTCAGAAATTCAGAAATACTTACTGCTTGAGGCAGACAGTTCTCTTGGACTGGAGGCCATGGGCTGAGCACACATCTGACAGAGACAGTCCCTTCCATTAAAGGTAACGCGATCGCCTGGTGGAAATGGACGCCTGGAAAGTTAAAGAGAAAAACAAATTTTTGCAAAGGTTATGCCAGAAATTTTCCTCTGTTCCCTATGCTTTGAGTCTGCTGCCTTCCTCCAGTGCAATCAATATTTTACAGAAACTCGGGCCAAATAGTTTCTGCAATGTGGCCTTGGCAAAGCCAGGCACTGGAAGAAATCCAATCCATGGATGCAAGCAGAGCAGAGGTTAGACTTGCCTTGTATTTTCATTTAAAAAAGACTATCAAACTTATTTTATCTGAATAGTAGAGACAGTGAAATCTGCTAAGACACAACAGCTACATTTATGATGGTCTCAGCATGATGTTGTGGATAGCAAATGATACAGAAGAGAACTCAAAGGAAGAGTTGGAACTGTTCTTGAGGCTAGTGAAGGAATGTGGAGCTAGTCACTCATAAATGTTAAGAATGTGTGTTAGGCAGAAGTTGACATTGCTGTTAACTCTTATTTGGTGCATAAAGCAGAGGATGAATAACATTTTTTTAACTCCAAATCTTTAATAAAGAGCTTAGCTGCTAAGTAGAGACTCCTGCTACACCCCACCTCACTCCAAAACTGCTTAACAAAAGAACAGCTGCTGATTTCAACAAGCCAAAATGTTTAAGGCATTGTTTCCTTTCCACTGCCATTCCTAAGTGGGTCAAAAATAAATCAGCAGCAATAGTGCATTTCATTAATCTATTCCAGTGACTCATCTTTTGTTCATTCAACATAAAAAGATTGATGCAAGTCAATGCACAGAAAACTAATGTCATGTTTCATACGATATCATCAGGTTTCACGCTGTCCTTGGGAAATAAAACTGAAACATACACATTATACGACTACCAACATACAGTAAATTCAAACACTACTTAAAAACAGAAAAACAATCAAAATACTTTCAATAGAAAAGGTCCCAGGCCACAGGATAAAGTACTTCAACTACTCATTAGAGATAGAAGTTAAAAATGCCACCTTTCTCCCATCCAGAGAGCCTTAACTAACTTCTTTTTATTTGCTGTAGAACTGAAGACTGGCTCTGTTATTGGGGACAAGAAGCAGCATTTCGGAAGAAGAGGGGGAATCACTGTTGTCCCAAAGCCATGTGTTCTTATATGATGTGAAAATCAGTCTCCAGTATGTTTTCAATTATTTAACTGTTCTCATAGCCCAAATGTAGCATCCAGAATTTTGCTTTACCTCATTTCTCCAACCAAGCTGGGCTGATCTCCTGAACTCAACTCAACCCATATCCATTACCTCAACATCCAAGCCTGATAATTCCTTCAGGCATGAGGGTAACTTTCTGAGAACAGGGAACTATATGTAACGCAGCAGCTGTGTCCCCCAAACAAATGAATGGCATTTTGAAGACTCTTAAAGTCAGATTTACAGCAGATCTTTTCCAGCCAATTGCTTCCCAAAGAGAAATACGTCTTATGTCTCATGGTGAAACCTTTTTCCCTGTTTTCCTTGTACTGGGTTCACACCATGCTAGTTGAAAGGGATGACTTACTTGCAAACAGTACAGGCAAAGCAGCTTGGATGGTAAGTTTTTCCCAGAGCTGTCACTACTTCTCCTTCCACGAACTCTCCACAGCCATTGCAGCGGGTGCCGTACATGCGCTGGTAATCCAAGGTGCAAAGGTATTCCCCGTTCTTGATGAAAAACCCTCCCTGTGCCAAGTCACACCCACACACTGGAAGGAAAAAAACACATCACACAGACAGATTAGAAAAATATACCTACTAAGGATGTCATCTGCTGACAAATGAGATGACCTTGGTGGTCTTACTCCCTTCTATCAGATTTTTGCTTTCTCCTGCTGTCACTACGTGCCTGGACATCCCAGGACATGGCTGGTGTTTTCTGGCTAAAGGAGAGCTTGTAATGAAGATTCTCCTTGTCCACATCATCATAACTTTAATTTACTTGGTCCTCAGTTGCCAAGAGCTCAGTTCCCTTGCATCATCCAGTTAATCGTGTTATCACAGTTATCTGTACCAACGTAATCTTACTTTCACTTCTGGGATGGATGTGAGCAGAAGAAAATACATGATTCCATAAATAGAACAGATTTTACTATTTTTTACACTAGCATACATTTTTTATGCAACCACATCCTTTAAGAAGCTTTCAAGGAGCTGATTCTCCCAGAAAATAATTAATACTATTGAAATGTTACCTGGTTTAGATTAACTACTCCAGTCCCTAGGTAGCACTGAGCTGCTTCACCATTGCTGCACCAATACTTTTAGTTTTGTTTTTAAAAGCATGGTCTTTGAAATATTCAGTGTGATTTTACATTATTAATTTAGATATAAATATTGGGAGAAAGCTGCAGTGAAGAGACAGTCAAACATTAAAAATTTAGCCACATCTCCACTATACAGACTTCATGATATATGCAACCAAACTATATAACAGTATATTGGACACCAAGTAAAGTCAATAGAAGATTATTCTCCACCTGTATTCTGATCAAATCAATATCCTAAGAACTACTATTACCTTTGAGTGCCTAATCTGAATTGATCTCACTTTAGTCTTTTATACACTATGTTCCCTGTACTTCATGGATTAGGTAAACAACTCTAATATTTGGATAGAGACTTGTGGCCAAGAACAAATTTATTGGGAAAAATAATTGTAACAATAAAAGGGTGAATAACCAGTCAAGGATTTCTGTGACTTGGCAGTTTTTCCACTGTAAAATACTTACTCACCCAAACCAAAACACATCACAACCAGGTGCCTTTTTTGCTTTAAGAAAATACTCACAGTGCTACATTGGCATTTCTGGTCAACACAGAGACAGAAAGAAATCCTGCCTATAACAGCCAAATCCCATGAAGAGAGTGCCATGGGAGATGGGAGATTTAATTTCACACTGTGCCTTTAGCTTGGATTGAACAAAGAACTTGAAACTACCTACTTAGTGTCTCCCAGTAGCACCAAAAATTTATATGCAGCTGCTCCCAGGTATTTTGGTTTCAGCCACTCCTACTGCTCCTCTGTATATTGCTGTATCTGTGTAATTCAATAAGAGAGACCACTCTTCACAGCAGGCTAGGACATTGGCTTACTCTGCAAGCAATTCCATTTCATCCCTCTCCAAAACATTCAAGTACATTTAGATCAAATATCAGAAATATTGTATATCAGAAATTTTGATTATTAAGGAAAACTAAATAAGAAGCATTCTAGGTCCCTGCAGTTACAAAGTCCTTGAAAAATTAAAATACAAAATACAGAAAGATTATCAGGGGAACTATGTTCAATTCTTCTTTCTGCCACAAGTCCCAAGCACAACACTGTGCCCAACATTCTTTCTCACTCCCATTATAATGGGCTAATATCTTATAAACTACCTGCCTTGAAAATTAACATTGCAAGGCATTTGGGGTAGGGATTTCAAATTCTGTTTGTCTGTTTCCCAGCCCTGGATATCTAATGACTGTTACTGTAACAATAATTAATAGAACAGTATATACTATAATGCAGCTTAGAATTAAAGCAGTATCAGTACTAGCATTTTTCCAGTTTCACATTTCTACATAGAACAATGATAATATTTCACGTGCAAACAAATTACATTTCATGGTGGCACTAAATCCACAAGCAGCCAAAACTGAATTATCAGTGACTGAGAGGAATTAAAAAGAACTACTGCTCCAAAATGTTCCATGCTGGTTTTTAGGTACACCTCTAGAAAAAAAAAACCCTCTTTCATTCCTTTGTTTTCTTCTACTGATCTCCATTTTGTTTCAAATATTAGTTTCAAACTAATGGTACAATATCATGTAACCATTGGGCAGAAAGCACTGTGACCTCCACACCACATCACCTTAGACTCTTCCTGAGTTGGCACCACGTAGTAACTTTCCACTGCAGGTCCAGAGGCGAGACCTAAACCTACCCAAATAGGTTTGCTTCTCTAAGTTACTCTGAGTGGATCCTTACAATTAAGTCATGGAGTAACTGAGAATTCTGCTTTAATGTCAGAAAGTTGTTAGGGATTACTTTAGTATTCAGACTATTAGATCCTGTGGTTACAGTGCACAAACTGGAGCATGGTCATGGAGTGGTCAATACCAGATGCTTCAGAAACTGCTAAATTTCATAAAGAGCTAGTCATGTGTCTGTGCAATTATTTAAACCACATTTTTAATTTAACTTGTAGCTTTAACATCCAAGTCTATATACATTTCAGCCTCAAGTTGAAGTCACTCAGCATGCAGCTGTATCTGCCTCAGAAGCTGCATATATGAACTCTTTGGCTCTTCACTATGGTCCCCAGTTCTACCAATGAGTCACTTTTTGGAGAACTCATTCGGTCATTGCAGCCCTCTTTACCTGCCAAGGCAATGGTCTAATAAGCTGGGATGATCAAAAGGAACTTCTACTGCCACCTCTGTTCCAGCTTCTTCTGAAAATCCAGCTTCAACAGAGGTCTGTGGCAGATCATAGATGGCAAAAAACACTACAGACTTTGAATGAAAGGATTCATGCATTCCAGTTATTGGCTCTACCGTCTTTGCATGCATTGCTACAGAGATTCAAGCCTACTGACAAAAATGGGGGCTAAATTATTGGGCAAGTCTTTTGAAGACAGTAATTACTGTTATTAAAAAGAAGCTTCCTCTATCTCCCTTTTCTTTCTGAAGTCTCCTTTCCACCCAATCTCTAATTCATTTTGTCAATAACTCAGAATTTCTGAGTTAAACTGTCTCATACTGGCAAGTCATGAATTCAGGCACGAGCAGAAGTGATCCACCAGCAGATTCATCATCTCTGGCATTCTCACAGTAGGAAGCACACACCAATCTGAAAGAATTAAAGACAAACTCTGGCAACCCCACATTACAACGGATTTTTGCAGTCAATTTAGCACATGTGTTCCTATCACTAATCACAGCTTTAAGCTACATGGGCAAAACAAGGGTCACCCAGACTGTTAACATCCATGGTTGGAAAAATGCTGTTCCAGCCTGCTGCTTTCACTTTGAGTCAGAGATCAAACCAGAAAGGACGAACATGACTGTATCCACACTTGGTGTACAACAGGGAAAGGATTTAAACAGCTTTTTGTTCTTTTTTTTTCCCTGCTTTTGGCAACTGTGCAGAAGTCATGGTTCTGACAATATAACCCTTCAAGCTGAAACGCAGTGCCTTAGCACACATATTTATGACCACTATAGAAGTAACACAGAAAAGATGTACAAATTGTGATTGTTTTTTATTAAAAAGAGAGACCATATGCCCAGCAACATTCATGCCACAAACAGCAGAGGCAGTGAAGAGAAATCAGCTGTGAATGCTACATATGTACAATACATCCTAATGGTGTGACCTAAGCAATTGCTGTGATACACGTATCATGTCATCAAAGAAAAAACTATACCTAAGTGATGACAGTTAATAGGAAATGTCAAACTATATTCTTGTTTTTTCCTATACTGATGGGAAAAACAACTTTGAAAGAATTACTTCATGGAGCCAATAGTGATGCACAAATCACTATTGCATCTGAGAAGGCAAAATGCAAGAAGTATTCTGTAAACATCCATCACATGGAAATACTTCTACAGGAGAGTAACATTTCCCTAAGATTCTTCCTTCTCAGTATGATGGAAGACATTCTGTTTACATGACCAAGATCTCCCTTCTAAAACAGGAGACGCTGGGGAGCATTTCTGTTCCCTACGGTACCACAAGCATAGAGACAAAAAAAATCAGCATTTTTCTTTAAATGAAAAAAGAAAACCATTATCTTCAAAAGCTCCAGGAGGAACGCAGCCTTTTTCTCAGAGTCTGTATATCAAAGAATTTCATATTGCAAACAAATAATCCTGCCTCTCTTGTGAATGGAATAAGCTGGAATACAGTTCTGCCTCCCACTGTATGGAAAACACCCACCTGCCAGCTTTTTCTGTGTTGAACTACTCTCTGGAGCTACTTTTTTGCATCCTTAAAGGACAAAAGGATTGGAGACGCTGTCAGTGCTGCTGTCAGCTCTCAAAGCTACAGGGTCTGTGTATGCAAACCTGGGCTATTATGACAAAATGCAGCTGCTCAAGAGCAATCCAACTGCCTGGGATCTCCACGGGACCAGGACCATTCTTAAGATGAGTCACTTCCCAGCTTTAACAGAGATGATGAAAATGAAGAGATCAGATTTTTTCAAAGAGAATGGAAGTAGGATTTGATCCTACTGAGCATTATGCAGGATTTCCTCAGGCTTATTGTCAGTGAGAGTTGAAAAACCAGGCCCTTAGTAAAATAACTCTATGTTGACATTAAGTAAAAATTGTTTCAACACTGAAGAAACAAAACCACACAAGCAGACTCTTGCCCTCTTGAGAGAGGGCTCTCAGTTTGCAGAAGTGAATTTTATTTATTAAGAAAAATCTAATGATCTGCTTTGTTACCATGCATTAAATAAGGTGCAAATTCAATTTCCTGTTGGGGTTTTATTTCTTTCTCGTATTTCTAAGCTTCATAGAATAATGGTGCTGTTCTCAAGTAGGGAAATATTCATACAACAGCTATTCTTAGGGCATAATGGATCTCTTGTTTGAAGGTAGAATGGAATTTGGCATCGTTTCAGTTTATCAACATCATCCAAACAAATACACAGGAAAAATCTGTTTCTTTTTTTCGTGTAAGAGTTTAACAAATCCCATATTGATGAAAGCA